AAAAGCACCTGAGAACACACCCACCACGGGTGGTTCTGAAGACCCAAGCCTTGTCATTTTACATGACTCCGAGCTGAATGATCCTGTTGAAGCAGAGTCTGTTTGGTGAACTTCTTGGATCCGTCCACCTCGCAACCCGACATGCTCTTTTGGCCACAGCGAACCAATCTTCCAGCGCTTCAGCAGTGTCCCAGTGGATCCTGAGTACTGTCTCAGTCTGATGTCCACCCGTCCAAATCCACCTCACTCAGAAGCCTCACTGTTTGTAGACGACCATCGGTGACGAGTGGTGTATCTATAGCAGGGCAAGAGGATTGGATGAAGATTCTGATAAGTTGCTTCAGGATTGTCTATTTTCCGATGGACAGTTAGGACCAACTACCTCCTTATAATTGGGTCCAACAGGTAATACTAGCCGTATACATCAACCTGAAGAGAGGTTGGACTTTGGGCCTGGGGAGCTATCCAGATTATTTGTCTAGAGGTACTTTCCGAATATGTATTCAGGGAATTTCTTCTCTAAGATCTTGTATACCTCCGGGACAGATTGATTATAGTGCTATACATATATATATATATACATTCTAGCCTTCTATGATCGTCGCCCCCGAAGCCACTCCCATGAACGATGCCCCGAGTCGACGTCCGCGGCCGGAACGTGCGACCCAGGGATGGAAGGGGGAACCCCCGGGGACCAAGCGCCCCGTGGAAAAAAAACATGGTGAAGAAGAACATGGGGATGTCTCAAGCTGAGGTTTGCCAGCAAGATGCAACGTGCCATTCAGTGAACAAGCCTTTGCCCAAAGAGTCGATGCTCCAAAGTGGATTTAATAAAACGATGGCGCCATGTAAGAACTGGCAGTGCACTTCACCATACTTCACCTATCATCCGGATGGGTCCCCTGATGATCTAGATGGATAGTTCTTGGAAAGGCCTAAGGGAGGCAACGTTTCATGGTGTTTCTCTCAAGAAGGTGGATAGTCATCCCCCTGTGCTGAACAATACGCCACTTGTTGAGTAATCCAGTCAATCACACAAAATCTCACTGGATCTACTGGGTCTGGTTTCAGCTTGGTCGTTGCACGACCGCAACTTGACCGGGCATTCGTTTTGGCGACCAACGGCACCTCGTCCGCATTCGGCACGCCATGCCCAGTCGCCCAACGCCAAGCCGCAAGATGTGGAGAAAGGTTTGGCCGCAGCACAAGACCCCATTCAGGCGGGTGTGTAGTTTTAATAGGAAGATCCCCAACCGTTTTGGATGCTACCGTTTTGGATGGTGTTTGGTCTATACTCCTTCTTCAAGGGGTCTTTGGGAGATCTCAATTTTAGTAATTACACACGCAGCTGCCGCAGGTGGTTCTGTTAGAGCTGCTCAGCAGCTGCTCCGTATATCCAAATCTTTCTGTCGAGTTGACGACATGTCGACCAGTCAACCTGGTACAAAGTCTGACTTCGTACTTCCGCTATAGAAGAATACAGCCAGCATAATACCGCTTCGGCCCGACACGGACAAAAAAAAGAACCACCATATGTGGAAGTCGTGCACCCCCTGTGGACGGACCAGTGACCGGAGACGGTCTCTCGCACCGACACGGTGCAGACCACGAGGCGAAGAAGAGGCTCTTCGGTGAGGACCACGAGGAGCCTCGGTGTTGAAGTGGATGTGAAAAGAGGAGTTCAAAAGAATGACACATCAAGAGATAGTTCTTTTACAACCAATGTCTCCACACGTTACCATTCTCGGAAATAACTCTTCCTGCGCATATCGAAGTATTAATCTCTTGATGTAGTTCCTCCCCAGCTAAAATTTAGAGTTAAATCTGTGTAACAGGGCGCATGTCCACAATACTGCTTTGGACATCATCAGAGATCTTGTGGAGGAATTATATCTTAAGTTACAATTCTTTCCCAAGGGCTTCTTTTGGCAATTGTCACGCTAGGGTCACTGCATCAAAGCGTCTTGCAAACATTCAAGCTGGGTGGCCCTAGGGAGGCCCGGGGGAGGAATGAAATCAAGAATTAATTCGTGGCAAAGAGGCCGGTCAGTGATCATACCCGTTGCCTTGATATCACCCAGGTCTCTTTCTGATGCATGGCAATCATTCAATGGTGATGGCCCTATTGGGAGCCCGTGCGAGAATTAAATCAAGAGTTAATTCTTGGCAAGGGGGGGCAGTGAACACAGTCTCCCAGCTCACACGTTGGCATGGGAAAATTACGATCCACTTGCTAAAACTAATTAACTCTTGATTTAATTCCTTTTGCATGAGCACAGAACGGACACGTCCCAACCTGGCCACATGATTTCGTGGGTTTGTGAAACTCGAGGACTCAGAGAGGAGCAAAGGAAATAAGTCACCCGCGTTTCAATCGGGAATCCAGCATAGACGGATCGAGACGCCCGCTCGTTTCCATCGCAGACGCTCGGATCCACGTCAGACTTCGCAGACGGTCGGAGGGTCGATGTCGACGGATGGATGGACGGATGCCGATGACGGAGATCACAGAAGATCACACCGGATGTCGGATGTTTCTCCAGGAACTCTGCAGATGCTTTTGAACATGGGCGAGAGGTGCAGCGACCACTATAGTCCAAAATATATGTGTCCCAAAGTTGGTGTTTTAAATGTACAAGATTCAAACCACCTCGGAACCCAGGCTTAGGGGTGTAGAAAACAGTTAAGATGTTGCGTACTAAATTCTATAATTGGAGCTGTTGTTTTTTCTGCCAAAAAACAGCTATTGTATGGGCCGTGTTTGTGTGCCTGTCCATAACTGCTCCCGGGTTTCACCCAGGTTGCAGTTATGAGCCTCTATGAGCTCTTGTTTATATCGCCGACGATTCGACCTACAATTGGGGTGGTGTCCCTTTCAAGGTTGGGATCATATCTCATACGTGAAAGGCCACCCCTTACATTGGGGTGGTGTCCAACATGTACTTCGGGTTGGCATGAGTTCCATGGAGTGTGGCGAGTGTGTGGGTGACGGAAAAGGGTTGACCTCCATGCGAGTGTGGTCCGCTTGGAGCTCGACCCTCCCCGAGGTGGTGGAATCCTTCCGACACACGGAGCACCACCGCGGCGACACAGGCTGGATGGGATCTGATCCAACTTGTTCAGCTATCCCTAGGGATCCAAGTACTCGTACCTCCTCAAAAGGTACTTGGCTCTCCAAACCCACCCCAAACACCTTCTCAGAGGGTACTTGGATCCTGAGGGTATGTTCAACTCATGGTGGAAGTGGATGGCAGCAGCACCTGGGACGGCTCTTCGGATGGACGGGGCGGGTCATCCGAGTCTTGGGACACCGTCCACGTGCCGAAACGGTGTCGTCCGGAGGAGGTGGAGCGGCGATGGACCCGCAGCTGTGCGTATGGCTCGATGGCTAGATCCAATGGATTCATTGAACCCTCCTTCTTTTCTACAGGTCCCTATGCTAAAGAGACCCAACTTTGGGATTTGGTTTGAGATGTACCCCCACCGCTAAAGAATTCATTGCGGAGGGTACTCAGATAGCAAATAGATAATGATCAATTAGATGTTTCCAATTACAGATTCATGTATTTTGTTGATCCTAGAATGTGTCGAGAACTTCGATGAAATCTAAGTTGCAGAATGGAAATGGATTTGCATGCTCCCAGTGTGAGATGTGGCGAGATGTTGTGGAAGACATTGATTCGGGGCGTTGGCCCCTGGAGGAGGGGTGAAAATTAATCGAACATCAATACATACTCGGCTAGTTAGGCGAGTTAGGCCCCCCCAAGCAAAATCTGTAGAACATCAATCGGGATCTAAAGTCTGGCCCAAAACACTCAAGGGCACCCTCAACTTAATGTTCTTTTTTAAATAAGGGGGGGGGCCCTAAGGCTCCATCTAACGTGGGAGACATGGTTTGAGCTTCTGAGGCAGTTTCTTCATTTTTTTGATACAGGAGATGCTTTCATTCGAGAGGCCGCCGGCCAACAAATGTTGAAGGAAGGGTCCAACACTGGAGAGATCACTTCGGCCCATCACACAGAAGGCGCCTCCACTTGTGGAGGGTGCCACGGTGCTATAGAGACGATGCGAGGAATTGGATGACGGTTTAGGTTCAAAGAATGTGGCAATACCCTCCGGAGATCCACACATTCACGCCAACATGTTTCCGTACTTATGTCCCTTTGAGGTTTTGAGGGTTGGCTCCCCCAAAACCACAGTTCGACCTGGGTCATTTGCTCCGAGGTGTTCGGTCATGACGTCAGCATGCTCAGATGCTCAGATGATTTGCTGCACTGTTCTTGTTACTAGTAGCGAACATTGCTAGTAAGGCCAGGAGCCCCGTTCGTATCGTCCTTGCACGTCAGGTGAACAGGAACAGATGCTGTGGGCGAGCGAACCTGAGGCAGGATCTCCTGCAGGGGTTGAAGGAGACGTTGTTCCTCAGGGGCCTGTTTTTCACTGACGGACGAGGGCAGGAGGTTGGAGATTTTTCTCAGAGGTCTGGAAAAGGTGAAGTATATGGTATACTTTCCTTCAAGGTGTGTGTGCGGCAATGAATTTCGTGCTGTGGTCGATTAAAGTCAGCTTTGTTTTGCCCTTTTAAGTTTGAAACTTAAAAGTGAAGGAAGGAAGCACTGAGTGAGAGACAGTCGAAACACAAGTCGGACAACATGAGTGCACCCTGAATTGCTGGGTGTGCAATCTTGTTTCGAAGGTGTCACATTCCGCCACTTCAGGCAAATTGGCCCAAGCATAGTGCTGAACTGTTTTGGGTGTGTCCTGAGCCGAAAGTGATGGTTTGAAGCCATGAATCTGAAAAACACTCCTGGCACAATTCTGTGAAGAGAGTGCTCCATCAGCCATCCAAGGCAGTTCCTTTTGGCCTGGTGAATGGAGTTTGTAGGTCAAAGCATCTTTCTGGGACACACCCGAAATCGGGTGATTTTCTCTGAGAGGCACCCGTCTCACAGACGTTTGGTTGGACGTCACTGGGAGAGGCTCGAAGCAGCCACTCCCCAATGTATCCCGACTATGGCGACGAGCGCGTGAACCTGCTCCAAAAGATTCAAACCAAGGACCGGGTCATCCGAGGGGATCAAATCCAATCAGGCTCAGCTCAGTTTACAATTTACATTGCAAACAGTACTGGATAAATAGGTGAGGATTGAATTACTGTACTTGGAACGTTCTGGTAGACTTGCTGGGAACCAACATCGTACGGGGGGTGACAATTTTGCAGGGATGCAAAGGGCAACGCCCTCCTTGGTTCATCAAGTTCGGATATTTGCTATATCCAAAGCTTCAGAAGATTTCAGAAGCCAGATGCGAAGGCTGTTAATTCTAAAAAAAAATTGGACACCGTGCCACTGTGTGTGTGTGTGCGGAAGCCCCTCTTCCAGTAGACTAAGCGTTCTTATTTGTGTAAAGACCCTTACTGAACATTTCAGCACCCTCTAGTGGGAAGACACCATCTTCCAAGCTGCATGGATCATGAACGGCCTGGCCATCAGGGATCATTGCCAAGTTTGTGGTTTGTAATACCGGTATCCTAGATGAATGCGTCGGAAAACAGCATCTACTGCAGTTAGCTTGAGCCCAGGAAGCTCAGGCCTTGGAAGCTCTACTGCATCCTCCCATGAACGGTGCCGGAAAACACCCCACCTGGTGCCTTTTCCACACACGCATTCACAGCACCAGACCTTGACCCATCGCCGTGGCGCCGAGCCGGGGCAGGATGACTTCGCCGCGAAGAAGTGGCGCTGCCTGACGCATCCCAGCCGTGCCATGGAGACCCTGGCGCCCTGGGCGGTCTTGGAGGCGACTGACCTCGGGTGGACGAGGGGACCTGTTGAGATCAGACATGATAAGTACACTTTATTAGGTTGCTTCATCATCCTAATTTCGTGCATCAGCCAAATTGATCAAGAAGCTAAGCTTGTCGTTGTGGTTGTGGTTGTTGTCGTTGTGGTTGCGGTTGTGGTTGTGGTTGTTGTCGTTGTCGTTGTCGTATCCACAACTAGACCATGGATCTGTCGTTGTGATTCTGTTGAGGAACGTTCTCCTGTTATCGTTATCAGTTATCGGTGCAGTCATTTTTTCTCCAAGATGTGTTGGAACCAATAGTATATAATATAGTATATATATAGACAATAGGCAACAATATAGCTCGTTGTTGAAACTGTTGACGTCCACATCAGGGTCATCTATATCATCGATATAGATGTGATATTTATGTGGAATTACAAAAGTTCCAGCGGTTCCAAGCTGCTTGGAGGCATCTAGTGAGGTGAATCCCCAGAAAGAATCCTATAGGGTCTATAGTAGCCCTATAGGCCTTCACCCCCGAGCTTTGTCCAGCTCTCCTAGACCTGTTGGGTGGAGATTGAGAACCCATCTTCCTGGACTTCCTGGTCGACGATGTTGTTGGAACATATTTTTGCTGTTTTTGGTAGATTACTCATCTCAGATGGCCCATGGTGGAGAAAGAAACACCACCGAACCAGGTGGGGATCTTGACGGCCCGGGATCTCACGGAACGTGACGCGGGCTACTTCTCCACCGACATCGCCCCGGATCCTTGTTGGTTGAGGGAGTTGGAGGAAAAACGCGTGAGGGACCAGTGGATCATTGGCCTGTTCACATGGGACACCGGACTGGAATGCATGCGAATCAATGACTCTATGGCTGTGGCTGTGGATCATGGCACCCGATGCCCCAGGTGGCCCTCGTGAGTCGTCGATTCTGTTCATTTTCTGAAGGTCAACCGGTCGGTAGCCCGGTGCCATGACCCACGCCCATATTATATATAGCTATATATTATATAGTTATATATATATATTCAATGCGAATCAGTGACAGTGTATACAATATTACATACATGTATAGCATAGTAAGATCAAATATTACAGCCATATATGTATATAACATATACATATTATGATGTGTATGTATATATTATATATATATAGAGAGATCACGTGGTGTGATGTGATGTGGTTGTTTCAGGGGTTGTATTGACATGAACGTGGGCTGGTTCATCGGCAGGTTGTTCAGTTGATCGTGAAGCAGTCTTGAGTGATGCACGAGGGGCAATGATTGAGGTAATCGGTTCTTGATGCACAGTCCAAATCAACACGGCATTAAAAACTCCACTCCATTCAGGAAAAAACCAGAGAATACGTAGCTCCAAAGCCCCAGTTTTGATGCGTCTCCGACCCTGCAAAAGCCTTAAGGATTCCTTTGTGCAAGTGCTTATGGACGACCGTCCGCTTGAGAAGTGCAAGACCACAGTGGCAAGGGCAAAGAGTGAGCCAATGTGGATCTACAATTGTGAAGTCGAGATCATGGCACCCATGTCTATGTGGCTTCGACAGCGACCAGGTGATGTTTTTCACAAATCCTGGCGCCAGCGGTTGGAACTCTGGGAATGTTTAACTTTTAGTTCATTGAATACATATGAATAGGTCATACAGGGGTGTTGATTGGTTGTTAAGGGCTGTGCACGACTGTCGTAGACTCATTTTGTTGGTCTCGATCCTTTGTTTCCGGTGTGAACGGAGTCTGTGTGTGTGTGAACTACAGTCTCCGTGTGCCATACGACTGGCGCTGCAGGCCAGTCGCCTCATGCGGTACATCCACAGAAGCCCTTTTTTTTGCCGCAACTGGAGGCGGCAATCTATTCGAAAAGAACATCTATACATAATCAATTAGAATATATTGAAATCATATATAGGGCGGCAGCTTCTCAGTAGGGGGAATCATATACCCAGGGGAATGGTATTGGTTAACCAGGGGTAGTCAACAGTCTCGTCCGGGTCTCCTCCGGGTCCAAGGTTGCGCTTTCAAGTGAAAGATAATCGCCCATCCGAGCAAGATGCTTGGCCGACTCAGTGGGAAGGGCGAAACGATGGACTGGCGCCTTTCCTCCAGCGAAACGACGGACTGGTACCTGGTACCATTGCACCGTGGACTTCTGACACCTGGGTGTGGGGCGAACAAGATGTGATGAAGCAGTACAGCGTGACTGTGCTTGGCTTACTCAAACGAATACATTGGTTTACCATGGTTTACAGAATTCCTCATGAGTGGGCCAGTTGCCAGTTGACCACATTGAGACTAAGGATGTCGACATTGGATTCTTCGACATTTGTGTCGGTGACATCCCCTACCATCAAGACATCGAAGGATGGTTTGAGCTTCGCTTCCAGGAGAGCTTGCTGCTGGGCAGGAAGAGAACCTTTTTTTGTTTTAGACAGGTTCCGCAAAACGTGAAGTCGAAAAGAATTTGTATCATGTTGTATGGTTTGTTGGTGAGGAACCAAATATATAGCATAAATAATATGACACCTCCGTAACACGAGACATTATGATATGATTGTGTTCCTTGCAAAACAAAGACAATAGAAACCTTACCTTTGAACATGTTCTCCTCCAGACATCCTTCTCCTGGCTACAGCTACTTTCATTCTGGGTCATCTGAGGTTATCTACCAGCGTGGACCGCTACAACAATCATTGTCAAGCTCCCTGGATTCCAGTGGGCTATGATTGGAAAAAACGACCACCAAAGCAGGAGAAAGCGCCGAAAGCAGATATAGTACCCACCAAGGATAGATTATCCAGGCAACAAGCCAAGAGTGAAAGTGCGTCGTGAAAAACCTCCTCAATGGAAGGACTGGTCCTGTTCTGCACTCACACCCTAGCCGGAACATTTGGAACATGGGGGAACCATCTTTGGACTAAGTCCACTGAGAATGACTGTGTATGTGGGGAGGAGGAAGGTGCAAAAGCACCTAGCAGCTAGCATATCATATGCCTCTAATCTAGCTTGGCCATTCCAATGACAACCGACGTTTGTGTTTGATCATGCTCCTCCTAGCCGACGGGAACACGTTGACCGAAGAGTGAATTCCCACAAGCGAGATGCTGTAATCCCAGGCAGGTATCCAGACACCCAGAGGTTTTTGCAGTGATCCGCCCCAGAAGATGTTGGGCGTCCATAAACCACCCACGGATCCTACTGGATCCTCACATGTGGCACCGTCACTTAGCTGACCTCAAGGCCAGTAGGCCCCAGAGCTACATGATCTAAGACCAAGTGCCACTCGCCTTTGCTCACGTCAATCCTTCTATGCTGAACTCGGAATCAAAGAATGACAACACCCAATGCCACTTCCGTCCTTGAATTCAGGACGAACATCACCAGCAGTCGTCCATGGTCTGGGACTCCCGGCCTCGCGACACGGGACGCATCCTTGCGGGCGAGGAGTGCTAGTCGTCCGAGGTTCGAGAAGAGACCAAGACGGAGGAGCAGTTTCAAGAGATTCAGCACCTGGGCGGAATGAACAACTTCGCACCCTGCGGGGGTTCACGGATGGCTCCAATGCAGGTGTTGAAAGAAGACGAGGTAGAAGGGAACTGAGGCGATGAGGTCGCGGGAAGGAAGGACTCTGAAGGTAAAGCAATTGATTGGCGAATTATTTTTTCAGATCGTTTGGGATGGGCGAACACGAACCTACCCGCCTTGGTGGCCTCGTTTCGCTACCGCTTTTTCTCCAGTGGATTGTCTCCGTATTTGGTAAAATCAAGTTGAAATGAATAAACAAATCTATCCAAAAGCCACTGCCACTGCTAGTAGCTTGCTGTACAGTGAACCTCTTTGACCGACACTATTTTCAAAGAGTGATGGTGACTCTCTTGCTTGGCTTGGCCTCGTGCATGTAAGGATGAAGATGGATGAGTCCACAAATCTGTTCAAGTTAGAGTCATTTGTCACGCCATGCCCCTAAAACTCATCAGTTTTGGGTGTAATTAATCCTCCTAGTTTGATGGACAGTGAAGGCTTGGTGCCATATTTTCGTGCCCAGGGAAGAGAAGGTGAACAACAGCACTGCTCTCATGGACATCCCTGACGATGATCACGAGACCAAGCTGGTGCAGAAGAAGCAACGTTATTCAGACCAAGCGGAACGATGGGATGGGGGATGATGGGGGCAAATGGATGGTTTCGTTTCGGTTGGTCCAAAAGAACCCGTTGCCAGTGGATGGGCCAGCATCGAGATGGCAATGGTCAAAGAGGGGAGAATATGAGAGCAACGAGAGGAATAGAGTCGTTCCGGGGGTCTTGTATAGCACTCGTAATTACACAATGACTGGCCCCTTTCTGCTGTTTTCCATCATTTTGCTCATCCACATGTTCAAATGGTTTCTTCAAGCAATCGCCCCCTGTGTGGTAGGAGGCACATGCCCCCCACCCCATATATATATATGAATACAGCCTACTTTTCTGACCATGAAACTCTTATCCAAGCAGGGTCGAAGCACTAATGCCACGGCTCAAAGCCAACTGGAGTGTCTCATGTGTGTTTGCTTTAGGAATGTGGGTATTTTTTTGGTGAGCTCACACTCTTCTGTGTTGTTCCTCACTTTTCTGCTGAACAAGACTTGGTCCTGATCCCAACCACAAAAGAGCTCCCCGCCGACTCGCCGCTGCTAGGCTACTCCAGCAGCAAGGAACGGGCCTTGGATGCCTTCCAGGCCTGCGTCCAGTCCACCGCCGATAAAGCTGAAGCGTGCCATGGCGCCCATTCTGGCGAGCATGTTCACGTCCAAAATTCACCTGGATGAAAAGCAGTACATTTGATGTTCACTCATCAAGGGATTGATTCACGTGCTTCTCAGAGGCTTCTGGGGTGTCCGTCCATGAATAACCCCAAAGCATCGATTGAAGCAATCAATATTATCATGTTAACACCAGTGCTCACATGGCTTCACTTTTCTGACCACTCACCAGTTCATAAGAGTTACCACCAGACAGTCCCGGACGCGCTTCATGTTCTTCAGATGTTCAAGCACGGACGTGCTTCAAACCCTTTCCAACAGAGGTTGAAGGATCCTATAGACTATCCCATAGGTCTCCCCGGTTTTCCGGGTCCTTTTCCAGGTCACGTCATCACCTCTCTTGGTTGAGTCGGTTTCAACGAGAAGACGACCAAGGTATGGCTTCGAGTCCTTGAGCAAAGCCATGACCGAGGGCAAACGCAAGCGCCGTAGCAACGCCGGAGAGCTCTACGTGTCCTTGCGCTTGAAGTTACTGGTGAGCAAGGCCACCTGGGGCACCTGGGGCAGGCAGCTGCCTGGGGCACCTGGGGCAGGTGCAAGAGAACTGAGTGCAGCAGTGCATGTGACGTTTCATCAAACAACAAGTGCTTGTTGATGGAATTTTTGTTTGCCCCTGGCAAGAAACAAACCCTGTGATAGAATAGGTGAATCGTGTTCAATGGTGTTCTCATCTGGGTCATGTTCTAGACTTCCATCAAGCTCTCGTCGCCAGGGTTTGGTTAAAGAATCAAGCTCTCGTCGCTTGATGCATTCGATGTCCGCATGGCCAATACTGTCCTCACAGAAGCTATGAGCAGCACCATCAGGGTCAAGCCGGGTTAGGTCTCATCGGGTGGTCGAATCAACCTGGAGTCCTTTTAAGTCAACAACTGCTTCTACGTCTTGGATGGTGATTTCTTGCATTCACATACTTCGCATGTGTCTCCTCCCAGTTGATTCATCACGTGCTCTCAATCGACCCAGCCCTGAGCGGCCGATCGACTGGGGCAGTGGCCGATCCGATCGACCGGGGGGGCGCGTTGCCGATCCAGGCAGACAGCATGTTCGCCTATGCCTTGGATCCCCCTCTGATGGTGAACTATGGCGGATTGAAGCAGGAGGTGCGGGGTGGATCCAAAAAGCCATGGAGTTTGCCCAACAAGCCATGGGTCTTGGAAACCATCCTCCCCATGGATCTAATGATTTGTAGATGGTGGACATGGACATGGACAGTGTTCCCGTTGATTTGTTGTGAGTTACGACCCTTCTACGCTCCTTGGAAGACCAGAACAATTTGTTGCTGTCCTTCATGGTGTTCACGCCTCACCGCATAGCAGTTCGGCGCGACTGGGTCGCTACGAGAAAAGAACGCAGGAAATCAGTTGTGGCGACGCTCAGGTGACCTTGTCAAAGCAGGTGGACATGCAGAGGCCTCCCGCGGTTGGCGATGGGTCCAACATGGTCCTGGTGATGGGTCCGCCTGTTGATGAAGAAATACCCCATCCAGAAAGTTTGACATTGCCTTCTCCATCATATGGGGCGTCTTATGAATCCACACTCTCCATTTACCAGTCCTTAGTCTAGACAGCCTGTTGACCCCCCCATGTCTCCAGAATGGTTTTAGTTCTCTTCAGGCCTAGGAGGTGATGAACCAGGAATCTACATTGGGTGTGTTTGGCTGACAGATGTTTCACTCCTAAAAACCGCAGAAGGTTCGTTTTTGGATTGCTTGACTCATTTGACTGCATGGTATTTGATTTATTTGATGGTTGCGTCTTTAAACAAAGAATAGGGGACAATCCACTTTGACTGTGAAACGGGAAAATATATCTCTATCTCTTCTAGAAAAAGACCGTCGAGTTGTTGACCAGTTTTTGGTATTTCCTGGTGGAGTTGTTGATGTTCAGGAAGACCCCGTACTTCCACGTGTCAGAGAAAGGGTTTGCCCACGCAATCCGGCCTTTTTGGGTCCCACGAAAAGGTGAAGAAAAGCGGCGAAAACTGCCCTAAAACCACAAACCAAAACGACCAAAACTCAAGTGTCCGACAGGATCCATACTTGGGCTGTTTAGACGTCAAGCATGGACTCAATGCGAGGTGCAGTGGATTCCTCAGAAAATTGGTCCTGTTGTTATAGATCGATTGATGACATCGATGCCATGCGTTTTTTTGGAAGGAATTCGATGTAGCAGCTGATTGCAAACACACGGACTTCGCTCGGACTCCGCACGGACTCCGCCACCCCTCGCAGGTGCTACGACGACTTTTATGAGGTGAAAGCCCCTTCACCTGCGTTGGAGAGGGTTTCGGTCCCAGACACTGAGGTCTGGAGGTCTTTGAATTCTAACTAGCTTATTGTTTTTAATAGCTTCTTGTTACTAGAAGTAAGGCACCTGTTACTACTAGTAAGGCACTTGTTCCTAGTAGCTTATTGTTTTTACCGCTGTTCGTACTGGAATACGACCTTAGCTTTGTCGTCCTGCAGAGTTACTGGACTATTCTATTCTGCATGGAGTGTTTATTGACCTGGAAGATGATGCTTCCATGGACTCCTGAAATGATCCCAAATGTAGATCAATCTGCCAGTCCCCGTGGGTGGTAGACCTGGAGAACACGTAGGACGTAGACGCTTTCCCGGTCGTTCAGAGCCCAGACTCCTGTCCCGTCCAAACCGAAGGGGGCTCCATTTTTGAGGCGTGAACAGTCAGCCAGTCGGACGGGGAGAACACCCCTGGGACCTGGACCTTGAATTGTTGAACGCCCTGCTGAACTGGGGCGTTGAGAGGCAACGAAAAGGACGATGAGACCCCAACACCATCGCAGGAGAGTTGCAGTTTTTGGATGGTACAGCTATCATGATTGTGTCAAAGTAGATACCCAGGCACACTACACCCATTTCAAGATGTAAAGGTTTGAATGTGGACATGATGATTTGCTTTGTGTGTGTTGGACCCAGAATGTATAACTTTCAGGGTCAATGTTGGTCGGCAAGCGCCAGCCCTCAGTGCCGGCTAATTCAGGGTTGCTCAGCACGACCTCACGGGTACCCTAAGAGTCCAAGACCAGTCAAAAATGGTCTTTAGGTGACTCAACAAACATAATGTCATTTCCTTTACATTGGGATTGGTTGGCTGAGAAGCGTCGCATCTCGGAAAGCCTGAAGCGGCTTCTCAGGTAGTAGTGAGCCTCAACTGGTGGGGTCCCTGAAGTTCATTAAATGATCTACATCAGGAACTCGTAACAGCTTGAAAGAAGACCGATCCAAAGTCCTATCCAAAGTCAGTCCAGGCTTGAAGAGGGGCACCACTGCTTTGCCCGGCTTCCTTTTCTCTGGGGCACCACTGTGGCCTCACAAATCACTCTGCAGAGCAGAGTTTGGACACTTCAAGACTCCTGCTCACCGTGAGAGTGGGCACCAGTGAGAGTCGACGCATTTTTGCAAAACGTCTGAGGTTCACGTCTTGGACAACGCACTTCTATGTTGTGCCTATGGCTTCCGCTACCTCGTGAGCTGGCGCTCCACCCTCTTGTCATTGATGCCTGGAATCAAGGAGGTCAGACCACCAACCAGCAGTTCCACCTATCAAGGGTGCCAAAAAGAATGATCACACTGCAGGGACTGGGGCATAGTCGTTGAACATCCACCCATTACGGGTGGGGCGCGGAACTGTTTGTTTTGATTTTTCTTCACCACCGAACTCCAGTAGGCTTGCACTGCGGTAGGGTTGCACCGCGGGCTTCACGTGACGCCGCTTTCTAGTCGTTCACCGGTGAGGAGGACACGGGACGCCAGACATGCAGACGAACGACCGTGAATTTGAGAAATAGAGTTCACCGCGGGAAGACATTGTTGGTGGACTGTTTAAATCCTTTTTGTGTGCATTTGAAAGGAATGAATATTAGGAGTATCCGGAATCAAGAACATCGTCATATCGTATACATATAGCTGTAGGTATTGCCTCTACTGTCCAATTCCGGGGATTTGCATGTAACAGTCCCCAGCTGACGAAGGAAGCCTCCTCCAGACTTGCGTTGTATTTGCCAGTTGCAGAGAGGTGAAGAAGCTTCATCCAGTTGGCCGGACACTTTCCGGTGACTCTTTACCCAAAAACCTTTGCACTCGACATATGTCACTTACCCACGGAGTTTTGTGATGGGTCCAAAGGCACTTGAGGTTTAAGATCCATCGAACATGCAGTCATTGTCTTGAACAGAGCCTCTAAGTTATTGAGAGTTTGTCAGTGACAGTCACAGACCATGCATTCTAGTTTTATGATGTTTTATTAATTCCGCACATTTGTACTTAGAGCTCCAGTCACACTGCAAAATCATGCAAAATGCGTGGTATGCTGCCTGGCTGTCCCTAGAGCATCGAAGCAAGTTCGTTGAAACGACATGCCAAAAGAAACAACTGAGAAACCTCAAACTGGGCCACCGGCCACACATGGGGCAAATGGCCAAATGATGCTGCTTTGAGGAGAAGTCACAGCTCAGAGTAGAGGACTGTTGGGCTCATAGCTGTGGAGCCCAACAGAGGATTGATCCAAGCTTGTTTGGTTTGGTTGGTGGTTTGTGGATCGTTCGATCCACAGGGGTCCTTTCGGGTGGTTTGCGGATCCCTAGGGATGGGTGGGTCGTTGTTTCTATCACGGTGTCATGCTGCATCATGAGGATTTACCTGGTGTGGTGAATCTGAGGATTTACCTGGTGGGCTTACTCACTTGCTGTTGGAAGACCTACTTGAACTGGGCCATCATTCCGCCCCCTGCCGGAGGGTGTCGTGTGGGGGGGGTGGGGGGGTGTAAAACCACCGGAGGCTTTGGGCGGGGTCGTGCAGGGTGCTGGCTATGCTGAAAACTGGCTATTCTTGATGAGATAGAACTAGGACATTGCAGGACTGATTGATCGGTGTTGCCCCTAATAGTTTCTTGCTCCTAGTAGCGATGCCAGCCCCTAGTAGCTTCTTGCTCCCCCTAGTAGCGTCCTTGTTCCTAGTAGCGATGCCAGGATCCCCTAGTAGCTTCTTGCATGTGTGTGTTAAAAAAAAAAACAACAACATATGTTTCAACCAATAGTGCCGATGTTTCGACCTTGACTTGGGATGGGGATCGGGTGGAGACATGGTCAGCAGCCCATTTTTGCTGACATGGTGTGAGACACGGAGTGATTCCACTCAAGTCAACCATGATCTAAAAAGTAAGACAGCACCAAATGACCTCGGTTTTTCAGTCGGTGGTTTCGTTTGTTTCTTCTGATTTGGTGAGATCAGTCCCTAAAAAGCGTCTACATTACCGATCCAGACGACGAACCAATCCCACTTAAACTGTTTGGTAGACTGTGTTTGGCACATCACCCGCATATCTTCAACCCCCACTTAGGCTGGCTGAAGCAAGAGTTTGCTTCAGGGTGGTACAAATGGACATTTCCTCAAACAGTTGTTTAACACCATAACACCTGCATCAATGAACCATGTGGCATCTGAATTCTTGAATGAAGCTTCCCTGCCAAATAGTTTCAGGTATCCTAGTTTCAGCTGGTGGTTAGACCATCCGGACCGCAGATCCTGAATCAGTTTTGGTTGACTGGGGATTCAGCAGACGAAGTTGAAGTCGAGTCCATTTCAAAACAAAGCTTTGGCCACATGGAAGAAACATATGCAAAGGATTGCAACAGCAAATTAACTGCTTAAAACCCATCATCAACGCACAATTTCCCCATGTTTCCAACACAAATTCCTTCAAAAGTGATTCGGGAAAGCTCTCATCCAGGAACCAACACCTACTGTCCCCCTTTGCATCTCCTTCCCCCCCCTACCGGCGTCCTTCCCATGCCGCGTGGTGGTGGCTCTCCCCGTGTGGTGGTGGCCCTCCCCGCGGCCGACGTCCGCGGCGTGAAGAGGCTCTTGTTGGCCTTGTCCTTGTGCATCAACTCCTTCACCGAGGCCCCGCCAACGAACGAACCGCGAACCGGCCGGCTCGCACGAGCGAACCGGTCGGCCGGGCTGTGTTGGAGGGGGGTGGAACTCAGAAACCAAGACACCCCCGAAAGTAGCCCCCCCATGCCAAGTAAGATGTAAGGCAAGATAGCGCCCATGTCACTCAGCATTTTTTTGGGGGAGGGTTTGGAGTGTGATGTTTCGAATTCCAGCTGGGGTATGCTAGTTCCGGGGGGGAGTGTATGTTTGTGATGATTCTCCGGCTGTGACCGAGAATGTCTGAAAGAGTCTGCTAAAAAATCCTGGTTGAAGCCATGTGTTCACAGACACAGACGAGCAAATTCCAGATTTGAGGTAACTGTTCTGTCAGGTTCATTCCAGCGTGGCGTGAGTTGAAACAATTGATCTGCAGATCCCAGGCGCGCCAGTACATGACCCGCGGTGGGCTGAATGCACCCTTGACGGAGGAGGGCTTCAAGCAACTCTGCAATGATGTTGGGTGTGCTCCCCGAGCTCAACCAGCTGTTATAAAGTCTTACACTCCACATGATAATGTATATTTGCACAAAGCATGCCGTGATGATATTGATAGACCAATATCCAGTAATGATCGGTATAGTTATGTTTCATGGTATGTTGTGACGTTGTTGATCTTCCCAGTCAACGCAGCAGCCTGAAGCCCCCACAGCCAAACCGAGGCAAACTGCTGCTTGGCGCGACAGCGGAGAGGTCCTGAAGTTCATCGAACGGCTGCTGCGGGAGGATATGACGCCAGGCGTTGAAGGCGTTGAACGGCGGAGGATGTCAGGTTGGACGGCAGCCTGCCAAGTTGGATGGCAGTTGGTAGGTGTTCGAGAGGTGTCACACTTCTTGAGACAGGGCCTCCCTCCATCTCCCTCCTATCTCCTCCTCCCTTTACAATCTTCGAAGGTTAAAGACCCCTGATCAGATCCACAAAATGTTGGGAACCCCGGAGCCCAGGTCAATATATACATATATATATATTATATGTATAGTGGATGCACTTGGGCTTTGGACATCTATGGACATTTGTATGACGTTTGTTAAGGGTAACTGAGGATAAATTTGAGTATCGGACCGTTCGTATGGCCCATAATCCCAGTCTCGCCGAACCGCACCCTTCGTGTTCACCTCGTATCCCTCAGACTGGCGCAAACCAATTCGGGTGTGGATCAATGTTGGTCAAAACATGGGGACCCTCCGAATGACTCACAGATCCTTGGCTTCACGTCTCAGCTCCTTGATTTCACAGCAAAACTTCAGCAAAGCGCCCTGGGCGCAAGCGCCCGGGTGTCAAGCAGAATAATGATCAACTTCCGAAGCTGGAGTTTGCACCCACTTGGCCCACACCTTTGAGGAAGGCCATTGTGGAGGACCCCAAGGGACAGCTCAAGGCCTTCGCTGCGCAGTGCGTTCGTGATGGAAAGCCCACACTGAGCTTGGAGGAGGCACGCTTGGCCTTGCTGGCCGCAGACTATGTGGAGGACCAAAAGGCGCGCGTCATCGCGTTTGACGGGGTCCGTTAGCGGTATGAGTCTGGTCAGTTGGGGCACTAGCCAATTCTTGCACGATGACACACATTGACTGGACTTTTGAACCAAAGTAAATCTCTCGAGATCCCATATAACTATCCCCATGGAGCATGTTTACACTGTTCCTAGCCCATCTCACCCACTTTTTACAGGTGCTCCTGATCTCACCTCTCTCCGAAAAAGGCCCAAGCTGTGGCAGGTCTACTTCCGTCGAGGGGACTTGGTTTGGGTGGATGGCCGCTACCCCGCGCGCGTGGAGAGCAGCAGCGGAGATTTGGTGAAAGTCTCCTATGAGACGCTTGGATTTGCAGACTCTAAGAACCCTTCCCCAAAAATTCCGCGGAGAAGCCGAAACTGCCGGTGGATCTGTTTCCCCACTCAAATCCAACCGGTGGCAAAAGGTAAACTGATTTGCTTTTGTTATCTTTTGTTGTTTTTTCCCAGAGAGAAACCGAGATAGTCAGACAGAAGCTAAAGGCATGAACACCTTGGAGAAGTGACACACTATTTGTGACACATAATTAGCCCCCCCGGTTAAGAAAGAGGAACTATGCCAAACTCTGCGGGAGGAACTCATGGGCAATAAATCACTATTTTGTTGAAGATTATTGAAACACAAAATGGGGGTCGTATGTGTATGAACGATGGTGTACGACCGGATTGCATTTGGATGTGAGCTGTTGAGTTCGAGAAGATTCATTTAAGAAAGACCCTTCCCTATGAAGCCAAACTTGTTGGGTGGCAAGGAATCAACATGTGGCATCCGAGATAGATCGACTTTTACGTCAATTGACAATTGACTCCAATGTGGTGCCACAGTTCTTCCACTTCCATTGACCGGTGGCACGACCACGTCGTTTCCGTCGGTTCCGTCGTCATCTGACCGTTCCAGGAAGACGTTGATCGTCGAGGAGAAACCTCCCGAGGAGGCTGGCGACGACCACCTGGGACCGTCGCGGGGGTCGCTAAGCGAACGACATATCTATATTACTAGGCTATATCTAGGATCCTATATAGGCAAATCATGGCAAATCCTTGCAATGATGATTGATCTTGAATCTTGTGTCCTGTCTCTTTTTGGGGGCCACAAGTCAGATACAGTCACCCTTCTTGCTCTTTTCTAGGCCCCATCAGGGTTCCCAGCAGGTTTCTAGGCCCAACCAGGCTCTTTCAAACACCTGAAAATGAAAATATATACCACCCCCCTTGCAGCCAGCTGAAACTCCCATCCTTCCACCATCCTTCGACCATCAATCCCATCCTTCCACCATCGATCACTGAGCCGTCGAGTTCGCGTGTCAGGTCCGCACCCGACAGCTGATCCTGCGCGCCGACGCCTTGGGCTTGCCGTCCCTGCCCGCCTTGGGCCCGGTGCGCAACGTGATTCTGGGGACGCTCCGCCGACCTCGCGCGGACGTTGCGTGGACGTTTGGGATTCGAAGGCCAAGCAATTGTCGCTGGAGACCGACCGAAGCTGTATAATTGTATCTCCTCAAAGTGTGGAAACTGACATGTCGTACATGAAACTGAACATGTCCCCTTTCATGGAATCGGAACACTTGCTTTTTTGGAAAGGGATATTATATATATATATATTACCCACGCATCGGACGGTCTGCGCCGCGACGATGACATGGCGGATGCTCTGATCCAACCATGTAGAAGCCCCAACTATTCAAAAACACCACAAGGAAGAACCTCATGAAAGCGAGAGGAAAGGGGTCCGCCACGATTCGATCGTGCGGCCACAGCCAGTGCATAACGTGCGAGCAAGATAAAGAAGGGTTTGATCTTCGATCAACAAGGAAGCACGAATGATCGCGCTTTGTGGTAGCACTCGCCCGGCAGACTTTACAAAAGTGGCGGAAAATTCACCTGGGCACAGCTGTACATTCGAGTCCTTCAACATATATTGGAATGCCTGTCTGATTTGGCATGTGACGGCATGAATGTGGAGAGTTTGGTAATCTGCCTCCAATCGCCAACCAGCATGATGAAAAAGCACCGCTAGCTCACAAAAGGACGTTGCACCCTCTGCTGTGGCTTTCATATATTATATATATACGTGTTTTATCTTGTTTTCCAAGGGCTTTACCATTTGCTCTTGAGGTGCATGTCTAGGTCTGTTTGGGAGGGTCACCTCCTTTCGGACTTCCGCATGCAGAGATTTGCCCATCGGGGGACCGACTGTAGAGTCTTTGTTGAACAGATTGGGAAAGAAGAAGAGAATCTAAGGGGAACTGATTCGTTTGGACAGGCTTTTGATCTTGGAGATGTTTTGCCCACACTCGTTGGTCTCCTCACGCCTCAAGGATCCTTTTGAACAGATAACTGGCAGATCGGCAGTGAATGCGCCATCAAGTTGCTTGTTTCCTGGGTCTGTAATAAAGTGTTATCAACGCATTTAATAGTTTCAAGTTTCAGGATGCATGGGTTTTCTCTTTGAAACCAAACCAGATCTTGCGAAACAACTCCGGTCACTTGGGTGCATCAACACCGCTTTCTTCCGAGGTTTCACAAGAGCTACCCTGGGTGTTTTTGTTGCACCCTACGAAGGGCCAACCCCTGAATGTCCAACGGGTGGCAGAAAACGGCCCATGTCACAGTGATGCCGTGATCTGCCGTGCCCCTTTAGGATCTATTGTAGGATCTATCGCTGAACTCGGCCATTACAGCTATTCTAATCTCTCCCATTCTCTCTCATGCAACCCACCCAAGCCACCTCCGACCTCGCTCGGCCGGGTCGCCGCACACGCGCACGCGTCGGGTTCGTTCTTCGTGTCGCACGCGGAAGCTTGTGAAGACCGAGGATCTATCCCATCATTGAAGACCTTCGGCATGCAAGTCTGCCGGCCATCCAGGCTTTGACGAAGCTCCTCACCTGGAAGTCCGCTGCCACCTGTGTCGCTCGGCGAGCGGCTTTTTGCTCTCCGGTGTTTGCCAGCGAAGACTTTTTCTGTGCATGGAAGTGAGTGTCACCTATAGCGGGGAGGTTCCAGCAAACCCCTGGTCGTTAGTCGTTGTTGTTTAAAGGTCTTGAAACAAGCAGTGGCACTTTTGAATACTTTGGATCTAAGAAGCGGCAATGTTCGCGATGTTAGTGAACTTGGGCGGCAATCATGTGTGTGTGTGACGCCTACAAAGACCCACATGCAAACTGAATCGATTCCCAGCCAGTTCCACTAGCGCTTCAGGTCATTCTCATCGTTTTGCTGGTGATCTCAGCGCTCTTCACTTGGGCAGCGGTCATGCATTGGTTGGCGGGAAGCCACAAGGGTGACATGGGCTATTGGCAGGAGGTGTTCATCGCAGTGCTCAGGACCTTGGTGAAGAAATCGCAGAACCACTGGAGTGTTTTGACCTCGACTATATAGTCCCAACCATCCCGACTTCTGGTCGTTCAGTAAAACGAGTCCGTTCCTGGACCATGGAGTTGGCTGGGTGTCCCCAGGACACCCAGACGTCGTTTGGTCGTTTGGTTTGTGTGTTGTCTTCTTTGGCTTACCGACCGACCTGATGTCGAGTGGAGACAGGCCGTCGGTTTCCAGCGGCCGACGATCTGCGGGGATCTCCAGGGAAGAACGAGTGGGGGCAAAACACCACCAACCCACTATCCTTTGCCCTGCGGAGGATTGTGTATATAATGTTGTGTAATTTAGAGCCATTGTGTGGACGCAATGTTGATTTTGTATGATTTTGGTGATGATGTGATGTGTATAGCTGGAGGGGTAGAGACTTTCCAACTTCAGCTAGTTTGAGTGCGAAAGGGGTATATGTTTGAAACCAGCAGATTCCTTTAACGTCCTCGAGCTGGGATGGAGGATTCCTGGATCGTATCAATTCAACTTGTGAGCGGATGGAGGGTTCGAGTAGTTCTTGGTGGAGTCCGTCTAGCCTATAACGTTCTCGCGGTAGATTGTGGCACCAATATATTAAACGAGGACGAATGTCGTGGAAAGTGTCTAGTTGTGCTTCGGGAATCACCGTTGAAACCTAAATATGCCACATGAAAACTCTGAAAACTCAAGCTCTATGCAAGCTTGGCAGGGAAATCGGTAAGCTTCCAGGAAGTGTCAAACATGAAAGCATGGCTCACTGACTTGTTCGGAGGAGTTCATTCTTTTCTGCTTGTTTAGTGCTCGTGACAAAGATGAACAAAAACACATCCACCACGGTTTCCCGTTATAATGCCCTGCTTCCACCTTTTGGAAACACAAGGGTACCCACCGGACAATTTAAAGAAAGTCCTTGTTTGAACTCATGTCGGCTTTTGACAACATCTCCAATCGAATGTTCTTGTTGCTCTCCTAGTAAAATATTGATTATACTTGCTTGTAAAGCAATCCATGAGAATAGCAAATACAGATGTCTAAAGGGTACAATTAAGAAAGGTCCCTGGGAAGAGCTTCAATACAAACAAAAGCCTATATGTAAAGCAATTTCATAGAATGTACTTTTTGCGTGTGTATCATAAATTGAAAACACACCTCCAAATCTGAGGCTCGATGTCGAATACAAAGGCAACTAAAGCACAAACATATATATGTAACGTATGTACTTGCTTTACAAGGGTGTATTGAACAGTGCAGCAAAGGCATTGATAAAAGATCAACATAAATTGCATTCAGGGTTCCGATATGGAGTTCTTGGCGGGGAGTGTTTCTTTATTCAATGGATATTCGGGATCGTTTCAGAACCCAGCAGTAATACAAATTGATTGATTTTCACCTGAACCTGTTCACCAGCACTGACCTATGGTGAGCCGATCCAGAGAGACACAGTGATGCCGCTGGTCAAACATCCACGTCTTGTATTCCTCGCATCCAGGAGCCTGGATAACACGGTGTGTGCCCTTGTGGTCATTGGCATTTTCCTCCTTCAGGCACGCGTCCGCGGCACGTTTTTCGGCATGCTGCTTTTCCAGGATCTCGCCGTGAGATCCTGGACATTTCAGCAGCATGCCGAAAGAATCTCGCCATGGCCGAATCCGGCAGAAGCGTCTCTTTTGGGTTGGTTGAAGCCGGGATTGCGTTGGTTCCATTGAGAGTTTCATCTTCGCTGAGGAGGTCCAGCAAGGCCATTTTCCGGTCCAATTAGGAACTAGGTTGTGAACACATGTGGCAGAAAGTGGATGGTCACTATTGCATAAGTACCCAGGAATAAAGGAACACTTCGCCACCACACCCTGCAACAGGTGCTCTATTTTGAATGAATAGACTTGGCACCTGCTATCACCAAGGGAACACCGATGCGACGGAGGGTCTAGGTACATGTAGAAAGATGTATAGATCATGCAATGAGAAACGTAATGTTTTCACCAAGTACACAAAGACTATACGATCTATATGAGAAAAAAAAAACGGGAATATGTATTAAGTAAGGAATGTTCCCAGAGGTTCAGAAATCGCTTGGCCACCGCTTGGTATTCTGGTGTTTAAAGTGGGTATGTTACCTCGTCGCGCTAGCAAAACGCAGGGTTGCGCTAGGTTCGCGCTAGGTTTGGCGCTAGGATCAAGTACTTAGGTAACTTAGAAAAGATTAACAAACAAGAGCTGATTGTAATGGTCACTCATTGGTGCACATACACACACACACACACACACACCCGCACAGGCACAAGAGCAGCAACTGTTTGAAAGGCAGCGCGCGCTGAAAAAGGCAGCAACTGGTTGTAAGGGAGTAACTGTTTGAGAGACGAGAAAGCGAGTTCTTGATCACAGACGTTTGGTGGCCTCATGCACTGGCAGGGAAGCGCGCTAGACCCGCGCTAGATCCGCGCTAGACCCCCTTTGCAACTTGGACCACTTGTCCAAGTGCTTTCCAGGGTGTATAGTCTTGGCAATTTGTTTCTGTGTGCAAGAGGATGGCTACTTTCAGCTTCACATTTGGAACCATTGGACTCTTTAAGTAAGAACGCAGCTGTTAAAAGGGCATACACAACATACAACCATATACATGAGCGCATGTTGGGTACATGATGGCCACCGCTTGGAATTGCTGTGATTTCAACCTAGGATAATGATTTTAGAACGGGTTTTCTTTTTCAACTCATATGGGTATGGGTCATGGCACCCACCCCACCCACCAAGACCATGGAAGGTTGACTCCTTCCTTTTCAGGGTCCGCCCTGCCCCTGGTGCCATGTGTGAACTGTGCCTCACACGTGGTTCCACGGGGAAAGCCCGCCGAAGATGTGCCCCCCATTCCTGAGAAACGAGTCACATCAGGTGTGCTCCGCTCCGACCCCCACCCCACTGCTTCCACCCCACCCTTGAGGCCTCATGGCTGACGGCCATCTCCAGCGGCATCAAGATGCTCACCCGCTCGGGCCATGGCCGAGATGCCCCCGCCCAGTGGGCCTTCTTCCGGGAAGATCCGGCGCAGGCGCCAAAGCGAAGCTCCGAAGCGAAGCACCCGGCCGGTTTTTCCGGGCGAGGAAACGTGCGCTTGAAAACGGCCAGTGAGATACATGTGTAAGAAACTATAGCCAATTCTATTGGATGTTTGTTGATGTTCTAGGGTTGTTTGATATTCTGAGAGGGTAAGTCGGCCAGAAGTGCCAGAGGCCTGTCACAATTGCATAAGTTTGTGTTACAGGTTGACAAAGGTAGTTATTCCATATTATGATTTCAATCTTAAGGGTAGAGGTATACAGGGCTCCTGGTCCAGATCTATGAATGTACTCCATAGCAATTCAGCTCAACTGCTGAAACACGAATACAAGTATCGAATCTTCCACAGATTCGTCCACACCAAAGGTCAACCACTTTCTATACCGGGTTCGATCTCAATAAACCACTCACACCTCCCAGCGCACCTGTCGATGTCTCTTGGGCTCACAGCGCACCTCCTCACAGCCAACCGTCCAAGCGTCCAACTGCGCCAGGCGGAGTTTTTGCGAAGCCTCCAAAACCCGAGCGAACACCGAACAGGGGTGGTGGAGGAGAGCTTGTTCAACCACCGAGTTCGAGTGTGGTACGTGCTTTCACTGCTGCAGATAAAAGCTGATACCCAAACCCTTTGGACTTCGGGTGATCGCCGGATGTCCTGTGTAGGTCTGATTCATTCTGATTCGCTCATGAAAGCTGTGGGTTAAAGTGGAAGGATCCACAGACAGAGGAGAACCCCCAAAGATTCCCTTTCTTGGAGCTGATGTTCTTACTTCCAACTCACGCTATAGAAGGCACCTGGCTTGATTCCTGCCCTGCCCTCGCACAAGTCGCGAACCGCAGGAGCACCCCGCGAACGGGATGTTTCATTTGCCCTACATGACCGCCGACACGGGTAGCGCTTCGGCCACTTACCAAGCCACGCACAGCTCCTCGATGGGACCTCACAGCTCCTCAATGGGACCGTGAGCAGAGGAGACGTCTGGAACTGGGAGGGACTGGGGGAGAAGGACGATCTGGGGCCCAACCGCTATCTCAAAGGGCAGCAAAATAGCAGCTGACCTGACCTCCTCAGGAAGACATGATTGGGTGAGTTCTTTTTTACACCCTTGCTGTGTAGGGCGGGATACTTTCTTTTCAAGCCATACGTCTTTTCAAACTGATCCAACAACATAAACAACACTCATGCTGTGTAGGCCTTTCGGGTGCTCAATGGGCGTGTGCAGCACATCAAGAATATGTGTTGGGGGCCATGGAGCGTATTGACGCGGAACGAACAAAAACGGTCTTCACCGGAGCCACACGCTGTCAGAGGTCGGTGGTTTGCTTTTCGGCTGACTCAGCTGGTCGAAGTTTGTCGCTGTTCCACAGGCAATATTCTAATTTATACACTATAACGTATGGGCCTGGGCTCCCTCTTCTCCATCCTCGCCAGGATCGAGCTCTCGACTAAAAGCTTCGACTCGTGTTTTGACATTCTGCAACTGCATGCGGGACTGCGTCACGTCTCCGACGTGAACGGCCAAAAAAGGGGACTGCTGCTGCTGTGTGCCTTCCGACCCCGGTGTGAGGGTCGGTTTGGGGTCGGTGAATGGAAGAAAACCGGAGTCGGACGGCGAACGGATCCATATATAGTTATGTTCAAATATGTTTCATATATATGTTTATGTTTAAATATGTTCATTTCAATCATAACTATATATGGATCCGTTAATATGTTTATGTTTATGTTTAAATATGTTTAATCTCTGAAATGTTCATTTCATATCAGTTTCATTGCTTCGATGAGTCTTGCTTCGACGAACGCACATCTTTAAGGGCAGACATGTCTCCATCTCAACAGGATGCCGTGTTTTCGGCGTGTTGAGATGGCGGTTGGCTCATGGGTTCAGGGTCCCATACCCATCCATACCCATCCATACCCATTCCCAATGCAACATAATGCAACAAAAATTGCCCACATTGGGGTGATTCCCAGATGTCTTTAGGGTCAATGGGGGTGATAACATCCATTTGCGCAGGTCGACCAGCTCCGACCGGCCCCACGGTCGCCACGGTGGCTTTGCTCGTCCTCGAGCGGCGGGTTCAGCGAGGAAAGCGAGACGGACAGGTCTGGGTTTGCTCAAGTCTGTAGGTTTGTAGGATGTTAATATGATGTAACTTTAATATATACAATAATTTATAATACTATTATGACTGTAATATTGTTATATATATACAATATTATGACTGTTATTGATTTGTGTTCCATTGGATGGATTGAGTTGGGGAAGACAAAGAACTTGTGAAGGTTCAGCGACACAACGTGCTCGCGGACCATGTCGGCCGGGTGTTCGGACAGGGCTGGACAGGAGAGGATGATACGCAAGGTAGTGGTGCTGATGCGGCTACCCTACACGGTAAAGAGATGTAAAGAGTAAAACTTTTTGAGAGCGACGAAACACATCAGCGTGGCAGCTTTGTGATTAGTTTGCCATGTCGATGAAGATCTCAGTATATAATGAAGCTAAACAGGAAGGACGGTGTTCTTGAAGTGAAGCCAGACATGAGGCTAAGTAATTCAAAGGGCAGCTCAATGCACTGCATTTGTTTGATGAAGTCATGTGCAGGTCGGCTAGTGCGGAGGTGTTGGCTGACGGCCAATAGCTGTTATATAGATGACAACAAATTATTTGACGGAGGCTGGAGTTTCTCCAACCAAACAGATTCAAGTGCTGTTCTCCATCGTTACAGTGGAGTGCAACAACAAGCAAAAACTTGGAACAAGGTTGACTGCTGCAAGCATTCGTCTTTCTTTGCAACATCCAAGCCTTCAGCCTGGTTGCACGGCCGGCTGCCCTTCTTGACGGCCGGCTGCCCCTTCCAGAACGTGTCAATTTTGGAGACCTTCAGCCGTCTGACGAGCCTGCCTGCAGTGACCAAAAACCTTCCGTTGTGACCATCCACTGAGTCCGGTGACCATCCGCTGAGTCCGGTGACATGTGCGCAACGCTGTCAGTCCTTGACATCCAACTGAAAGTCCAACTGAGTCCTTGACATCCATAAGGGGCCGCTTATGAGTCCTAGACATCGTGGCAAGCAGAACTGGAGCATTCCCACAGAACTGTAACTTTCATGGGATGATGTGCGTGTTTGCAGGTTGCTGCCAAACAGGTCATCCTGGCAAAGTCTGTCATCGATTGCAAGAGGTGATTTTTGCATTGACAAGCTTTAAAATCGACCCGTAGGAGACAGCGTAGTTCAAAGGCTGCACTTCCTTGACGAACTTGACCATTCCCACCTCGGTGACAGCGATTGCCAATCTTTGACAAGTGAGACAATTACACAATGATCTCCATCGAAGAGAGTGTGTTTGCTGGCAGTTCCGAACTCACTGACTTACCAGTTTTAATGTTGTGTTTGCATCTCACCTCACTTGGGGCCGGTAAGAAGCAGCTGTCCTTGCTTGTGGTTATCCCAAGCTAGCGCAGCGACATTGAAGCGAGGGGTGTAGTGTTCAAGAGATTTGGGCACAATGTGCGTTCTTGTTAGTTCTGAAGAACCTGGTATCAGTAAAGAAATAGCAATGTTGTCCTGTTGTCAAATTGTATCAAGAGATGGGTTTTCCATTTCCACTGCCACTTTCGAACAAGAAACAACACAATGTTCTTCTTCTTGATGCCCCTCTCACGGTCACATGGCCGCCGCTGTAGCAAAGAGTTTCTACCGTTCCACCCACAAAACGATGATTGGGAGTGCACACTCAGTTTGGGTAATGTTGTTTGTTTTCCCACAAGGACTTAATCCCACTTCCAGTGCCTCCGGTTTCAGGCCCGCCCAACAACTGCCCAGGACCACGGTGCCGACAGCAGCCTCGTGCTTGCGTGAAGCGAAAAGAAGATGACAGTGGATCGGGACGGCAGTTTGGTTTGTATACGTCAGTCACTATGCAGTCTACGCTAGAACCGCACGTATGCTCAGAATCGCACGCACCACTGTGGTTGGTGAGAGTCGCTAGAACCTCCACTAGCTCCAAGATATTCTGATGTGTAGCGCCAAGGAAGCTTCTTGCTCCGTTCGTAGCGATGCCCTTTGTTACTAGTAGCGCCTTTGATTTGGATCTATTTTCGGGTGCCATGGATCACAGGGCTGCCATACATGCAGCCGGAAATTCCCGCAGGCCGGCCCCCTTGCCAGGTGATGTTTACTTTGGCGGTGAATCCAAATCAATAGCATTCACTGGAAGGGTGGTTTATGGTGGTTTGTCAAATATGTTGAGTCAGTCTAGATATTAGACATCTGAGAGTTTCTTCAGTGTTCCTTCCCCACATCTTCCAAGCTGCGAAAGGCACTTGTTGAATCAATCCATGTGTTGGAACAGTTTGGAAACCGATGCAGCCTGCCTCAAGTGACCAAGCCCTTTTGGGCCCCTTCCCCCAGATCCCGATGCTTCCGGCATCGCCATGGCAATGAAGGTCGCTGTGACACAACTGAACGGGGAGGTCACAGTTCTGGAAGCGATGCCGGACACAAGCGTAGGCAGTTTCAAGCAGCAGCTCCAAGCATGGCATTTTCCTGAAGACGAAGGTTTGTGCAGAGCAACGAAGGTGGAAGTGTTAGTAGGAAGCCAAAAGCTGGAGGACAACAATGTCTCGTTGATGGAGGCTGGCATTTCTCCAAGTGCAGAAGTTCTAGTACTTTTCACCATCGATGCAGTTGAGTGTTGCAACAAAGGTGAAGCGCATGTATTTCCCGAAGCCTTGATCACGGTGCGAATTCCAGACTCTGCGACATCCGTCGAAAAGAAGGCCTTTGCCAATTGCCGTTCATTGTCTGCAGTGATCATCTCAAACTCCGTGACTTTTATTGATGCATATGCATTCACAGGCTGTTCTTCTTTGACACATGTGACACTTCCAGATTCAGTGACCTCCATTGGTGTCCAATCATTCTCTGAATGCAGTCGCTTGAGAAGCTTGACAATGGGAAACTCTATGACATGCATTGGCGCATGTGCTTTTGAACTCTGCCAGTCTTTAACCAGCTTGACCATTCCCAACAGTGTGGACTTCATTGGATTCTATGCCTTCTCACACTGCAGCAGCTTGGTCAGCGTGACACTTCCGGACTCTTTGACCTTCATTGAAATCAATACATTCAGAAACTGCACTTCCCTCAAACACTTGATGATTCCCAAGTCGGTGACTTCCATTGGAGGCTCTGCCTTCGAAGGTTGCAGGTCTTTGATAAGCTTGACAATTCCCGAGCTTGTAACGTCTATTGGTGACCGTGCATTTGCAGACTGCAGCTCACTGACTAGCTTGAAACTTCCGCAGTCCCTCACATTCATGGGGGCCAATGTCTTTGATAATTGCCACTTGTTGTTGGGCCATCGACCTCGAGAAGGCTTTCAAAGGAAACGGAAAGAACATTTGGGTGTCCTACGGCATTCACAGCAATACCTAAAGAAGCTTGCAGTCTTTGTGTACCAATTCATCCACAGCTCCATGCATTGCTGCCGACGGTCTCGCGTGTAGGCACCGATTGGCCCTGGCACGTCAGGCACACCTCCCCACCCGGCGGACCCGACGGACCCATGGAGGGACCGGTCGGGCTGTTTGGAGTGTGGTACATGAGATGAGAGCTGACCCGGAAAGAGTCGCAGTGAAAAGACCTTCGGCTGCGGCTCTTGAAATCAGAGGCTCTGAAGGCGGGTCCCGAGGAGGGTCAGAGGTAGAATGCATCGTACCAACCCGTTTTGCTGATTCTTTCGCGTAGGGGATCTCTCCACCGGGTGCAAGAACATCACGAGATCCAAAGATCATGAAGACACATTCAAATACCGTCCCAAACGAACAGAAGCTCAAACAGAAAGTAGAAGCTAACAGTATATATAGGTATATGAAATGAATATATATAGTTACTTGGGCACCCCAGCAGACCATCCTTTCCTTTGACGGTCAGTGCGCGCTGACCGCCCTCCGAGAAAC